GGGGGAGAAAGGAAGGGGAAAAAGAATAGTTATGGATAGACTGTGGCGGTGGGGAGGGTTGAGGGGGAGGACAGAGACAGGGGATGGACTGGAACAGGAAGATCAAACAAGAAAGGGGAGGGAAGATGGGGATGAGGGAGGGACAGTTAAGGGCCATTTGGGGGGTCATAGAGAGACCCAATACAGTAGAAGCTTCCTAAATTATGTACATATAATGAAGGCAATCTGAATAAAATCGCCAAATAACAGGGAAACAGCATTGACTAGATTATCTTTCATCACCAAATGAAGCTTCGGTACTGGGAGTGGGTTACATCTAACCAAGTTGTTGGAAAGGGGTCCTATGAGAACCCCCAAACAACCCAGGCTGTTGCAAAGGCTCTCCACAATCTGATGGTCAAGACCTTAGTGCTGAAAAGAACACCCATGCAACTCACTGAACATGGAGAAGCCAAGCTGGAGCCTGCCTAGAGCCTTCATGCCTGGGGCTCGTGTTCTTGGTCCTGGAAAGGCACTCTGCATGCTACCAAAGGAGACACGTACGCACCGTCCCAGCTACAGACCCTTCGATCTACAGTGCCCCCTGAAAGATACCCTGGTGCAACGGTGGCACAAAGCTTGTGGGAGTCACCAACCACCCTCTGATCTGATCGAAGGCCCGCCCACTCCATGAGATGGAGCCCATACCCGACGCTGCCTGGGTGGCCAAGAACATGACACTAGGTAGCCCAGGGACCTAGGGGAAAACCAAATACTACTGTTCTACTAAAGGAACCTAGCAATAAAATGACTCCTGATGACACTCTGCTATCCTCATGGATCAGGGCCTTGCTCAGGCATCATCAGAGAAGCTTCCTCCTGCAGCATGGGAACAAATGGAGACCCACAGCCAGACACTATGCAGAGAGTGAGAGACCTTGGAACACTCTGCCCTAACCCAGATGTCACCATCAAATCCCACCCCCACCCCCGCTCCCCCTTAGGGCTCAGGGAAAGCTGAGGAAGAGAACTTGGAAAGAGCGTAAGAGCCAGAGGGGACAAAGGGCCAGCAAGGAAACGACACCTTCTCACACAGCAGGACTGACCCTTGTGAACTCAGAGACCGAGGCAGCAGGCCAAGGGCCTGCGTGGGTCAGTACAGAGGGGCCCTAGAGAAGAGAACACATGTCCCCAGCCCTAACCCAGAAGGTATCCCCAGTTGATGACCCCCGCCCCCACACACAAATGAAAAGTTGGTTTTCTCCAAGGGAGTCTCAGCAGGGAAGCAAACTACTCTTAGGGTAGAGCGCATGCCCAGCAGTAGATGACCAGGAGCAAACAAAGTGGCATGTTTGGGATTCCTAGTCTTAGAATGTCATGTCAGGGCTTTCTTTTCTTTCTTTCTTTTTTTAAATCTATTTTAATTTCTATTTTTACATTTATTTATTTATTTTTTTTAAGTCCTACAGATTTTGTGTTTTTATGGGATTCCTGGACATGGAAACAAATATTTCTGTTTCTTGAGCCTTTTGTTTTGTCCTGTTCCGATTTGTCTGCTTTTGTTTTCTCTTACTACATTTTATTATTATCCCTAGGTGACTGTTTTCTAATGGGAGACAGAAAGAGGGCGGATCCAGGTGGGCGGGAAGGAGGGGAGGAACTGGGAGAAGCAGAGAGTGTGGAAACCATAATCAGACTACATTGTATGGAGAAAGAAACTATTTTCAATAAAAGAAAAGAATATACAGTGCTTATCTTCCAAAGGTGGACAAGCGGTCATTTCAGTCCAGAGTGCTTTCATTAAACAGCGTGCTGTGAACAGGTCAGAGGAGGAACAGTGACCCGAACTGACACTCACCCGGATATGCTGGAGGTAGAGGGACAGGTCTCGGATAAAAGATTTAATCAGTCTCTCCTGCATCCGGAAGTTCTTTTCTGTCTCTTCAAATACTTCATCTTTCAGCTGTTCAAAAGGAGTGCTTTTAGAGATTTGGATTTTCTCTCAATAAGCCTGATTGGCAAAAACATCTTAGAAACATCTTTTACCAAAACAATGTAAATTTGCTCTTTCCTTAATCTCATCAAACTGAGTTTGGATGCCTGCCTCTATACTGTGAAATCTGAAACAGACGTGGACCTGCCTACTTCCAAACTGACACAGTGACACTCTCTCCTCTCTCCTCTCTCCTTCCTCTCTCTCTCTCTCTCTCTCTCTCTCACACACACACACACACACACACACACACACACACACACACACAGCCCCTCCCCTGCTCGCCATGAAGGCTCAGATGAACTCAGGTTCAGAAGCATGCTTTCACCGAACTCCTGTTTAAGTACGATGGTGTTCAGAAAGAAAATTCGAGACGTGGAGAGTGAGTCTCTTCTGCCGTGTATTCTCCGCTCCCGTTACCATCTGTGTGTGACCACAGGATGGAGCCTGGAGACTTCCAGGTCTGCAACTGTCAAGCTGTGGTTCAAATTGCTCAATCTCTTACTTTCCCATTTCCCTCCTCACAACAGAAGGCATCCATCTAGATGATCTCTTAATCCCTTTTAGCTTGTACGCCTGCACTGTGGATCAGGTTCTCCAAATAGTTCAGAAGCGTCTTAGAGGCATGAAGACCACAATAACTATCACAGGTTGGCCCAGCTGGCCTCCTAATTTGCCTCTGTGCACATACATTATAAGCAGCTTGGTGGCTGCGGGGCCCTATCTCCACTAACTGGCAAAACCAGAAGAGGCACCAAGTACGGTCCTGTGCCAACCCACGCCAGCTGTCCTCAGGACCCTGCAGCGCTGTCAGACATGCTGGGCCTGCAAGCATGGGTCTCACCTGAGGAGCGAAGCCAGTGAGGTGTTTCAGGTGGCTGCTGACCCGGTTGGACTTCTTGATGATGGAGTGGATGTTCAGCTTGGAGATCTTCTCCATGAGGCTGTCTTCGTCCCCTTTGCGGTACTTAAGCACTAGGGTGCAAGCCAAGGCCACTGGTCAAAAAAAGCCCCCTCTCAGCCTGAACTCAGCGGGTCCACCAGCCCAGAAACACCGAGGTTCTTAGTGAACATAAAATGAAATTAACCCAAACAGGAACGAGGGCTTGTCTCCGATAACTTCAAACTGAACAGACAAAATTCTAGTGAAAAACCAGTCTGGACAGAGGCGTGGCTCCCCAGGCAGAGAGAGCGACTGGCAGCCAGGGACGTCTGTGAGTGCAATGCCCAGGTCTGTCACTAATCGAGGCTCAGCTTTAGAAAAGGCATCTTACCTCTTTGAGCTTAATATGTTTGAGCCATCTAAGGTTAGTATATGATGGTCGCGTATACAAATGAGATATTGACAGACAACCATTTCACAGAAAAGCCACTGTGTCATACTTTAGGCATATTCGCAGACAGAAGTCTGGGGATTAGTCGATGTGGGGCGGAAGGGACACCCTATCACCGTCGAAGAGGACACTGTATCAGGAGGCTGAAGCCAAGGGAAGGCTCCAACAGCAGAGGGCTCCGGACGCCACAGCAGGCGAAGGCAGGGGCTGGGGTTTCCATGTGGATTACTCCGGCACAGTGCACAAAAGAGCCGGGAGAAGCCGAAAATTCTCCACGACGACGACCTCTGAACCCTGACTCAGTGCAATCACCGCACTGCGCCTGTTGAGGATTCCGTCAGGACTGTGACAGAGAACAGGAGCTCAGCTCCTTCTGTGGGGGAGCGAGTGGGCAGGGCTGGGAGGGGAGCGGAAGGCGCTATCAGAAAGCAGGTCCCTGGGCACAGGTGGTAATAAAAAGGGTCGGGGGAGGGCGTGGTCAGGGGTTTTTAAGACAAAAAGCCTGAATTTAGCAGGCAGCAGCAACACTGGAATTAGATGAGTCAGCAAATAACCTAAGCAGGTGTTGAAAAGGCCTGCTTTAGAGGACCTGACGGGACAGTGTGTGACGAAGACCCCTCATGTCACCACTGTCTAGTCCAGTGGCTCTCACCCTTCCTAATGCTGAGACCCTTTAATACAGTTCCTCATGTGGTGGTGACCCCAACCATAAAATTATTTCATTTTGACTCCATAACTACAATGTTGCATCTGTTATGAGTCACAATGTAAATATCTGATATGCAGGATATCTAATATGCGATACCCCAGGGGCCGTGACCCACAGGTTGAGAATCACTTGTCTCATCGTCGTCGTCGTCGTCTACACATCTCCTGCAGAGGCATTCTCTCTGTCCCACCACTTCCTGCTCAATCATCCCATTTCCGGCTGTCCAGAGTGGAGGTTTGTTATCATCAGCCTGTGTTTCTCAGACCACAGCTGCCCCCAACTCCATCCCCGTTTCCTCCTCCCGGCCCCATCACACCCAGTGCCCACCTTCTCTAACTCTCGGGAAGTAATTCTTTGGAGAACAGCCCGCTCAGAGGAGGGCCTGGCAGCCGGGATGGCCTCTTTACAGTAACTGTGCCTTTCTTACCTAGATCCTTCCGCCGCTTGTATTCGTTAATGTTAACGTTGATTTCCTTCACGGCCAGCACTGCGCTGGTTAAGGGCACTTTATCGGGGTGGGACTCTGGGGTAGAATTCAGCAACTCCATCAGCAGCAGTGGGTAACGCATTATTCTCTGCACGGGCTTGATGAGGAAGGAGCCCAGGTTGATGTAATTGGTGCATCCCCTGTAAAGGAAAGCAGACAAGGACTCCAGCCAGCTGCCAATGCCACGGTGTTTCTGGATATCACCTGCTCTCCCTACAGACAGTTTGGCCTTTGACTCTGCCTTCTGTTTTCACTTATACAACGAATACAACCCGTACCGCAGAGTGATGGCTGTACTCTGAGAGACGCGACGTGAAGTGACGATGTTGTACTAATTCTACAAAATGTACACCCAGCGAGACAGCCAGGGTGCCCCCAGGGGATGTGAGCTTCAGGAACCACTGCCACCATACAGGTGGCTAACTGCTGACTGGAAAGTTGCCATATGGTGCGTGGCAACATTTACTGGGCACCTGATAACTATTAAGCACTATTATAGGTGCTTAACAGCAACCAAAAGATAGCCTTGCTGTGGTGGAAGAAAATAAGCACTAAGCAAATTAATAAAGTAGTATTTGGTGTATGTGCTATGAAAAAACATGGCAAAGTAGGTCTAGATTTGTCTATAAAGAAACGAAAGCAGCCTTCTAGGGGCTTGAAGACTCCCCTGAATAAATGGTGTGTGCATTAGGCACCAAGCGAGGGGACTTACCATTCGTTGTACAGGCTCCTACAGGACGGAAGCAGGAGGGAAAAAGAGTGTATTAGAGATGGCACTGATCTTCTCACAACAACCTACTCAGCAGACAAAAGCCCGCGGGATAGAAGAACACCATGGATGCCAGCGGTGGGTATCCCTGTCTAGACAGCCACCAGCTTCCTGGCTGTTTTGTGTCTCAAACTTCCGGCTCAGTTTGAGACACATGCAATTCCTCCCTCCCTTCCTTCCTCCCCTCAGACAGGTCTCACTATGTAGCCTGGGCTGGCCTGAAAGTCACTGTGCAGACCATGTTGGTCTTGAACTCACTGTCATCGTGCCTCAGCCTCCCAGAACTGAAACTAGAGGCACATGTCACCACCCCTGGCTTGCTAACCAAGCCATTACAACCGGGAAGTCACTTAAGATTTCCATGGCATCATGGAAAGGAGCAAGACACAGCACAGGACACAGGATAACGAGTCACTTATGTGTAATGTAAGGTCGGCAGGCAGACATGATAAGCACGGGGAACATCTAACAGGCGGGAACGAGAGCAAGGGCAGAGGTGGGCCCATCACATCGCCTACTTAAGATCTGCCAAGGAGTCCTGCAGATGCTTCTGGATCTTCTCGTCCTTCTCGTAGATTTCTAGCAACGAGATGGCTTCATCATGGTTCTGGCAGTAAACCCTGTACGTTCCCTCAAGTTCATCCCGGTGATCAAGAAACACAGGTCCTTTGGAGCACACACAAACACACACTAACTTAGTCAGGACGACTCGTGGTATCCTAAATCCAAAGCATATCTACAAATGCATGGTCATTCAAGTTCACCTGCTACAAGAAACAATAAGATAATCTGTCAAGCTCATAGATACTCTTGTAATAGAGTAAACTGGAAATCATTTAAGCCACAACTGAGAGAACTATGCTACCCATGTGTTTATTTTTTAGAACATGTATTTACACATTCTGCCTTAAGACAGCTTTCAGTCCTCTTCATGAAGACAGAGAACAGCATCCACAAACACTCCCCAAGTGGTCATGTGACCAGGCCACACGACCCTCTTGCTCTATACTCTCCAGGAACATCTGCACAAGGATGAAGAAATCCCTCTACAGCAGTGGTTTCTAACCTTAAATATAAAAGTGTAAGGGTACAAATACAATTTACTACACTACTTGAAATATCTGTGATTAAAAAGCCTCAACCTGTAATATGATGTGTTTTTCTTGTTCTTTGAAGTTTAAAATCTATTTATTTGTTTGTTTGTTTATTTATTTATTTTTAAGACAAGGTTTCTCTGTGTAACAGTCCTGGCTGTCCTGGAACTCCCTCTGTAGACCAGGCTGGCCTCCAACTCACAGAGTTCTGCCTGCTTCTGCCTGCTGTGGGATGTTCTGTATGTCCTGTGGGAGCCTGTTCTTGGGTTCCTTGTGGCTTTACCCAGCAGGTCTGCATAGAGGATGATTAGGACCACGAGCCTGAGTGCAGATGTCTGAGATGGTCTGCACTTGGTTGTGCTGGGGGATGGTCTGTTTGGCAAATTGCTCTGATTGGTCAATAAATAAAACCTGATTGGCCCTGGCTAGGCAGGAAGTATAGGCGGGACTAACAGAAAGGAGAAATAAAAGAACAGGAAGGCAGAAGGAGTCACTGCCAGCCGCCTGCCAGTCCAAGCAGCATGTGAAAATGCCGATAAGCCACGAGCCACATGGCAAGGTATAGATTTGTGGAAATGGATTAATTTAAGCTATGAGAACAGTTAGCAAGAAGCCTGCCACGGCCATACAGTTTATAAGCAATAGAAGTCTCTGTGTTTACTTGGTTGGGTCTGAGCTGCTGTGGGACTGGCGGGTGATAAAGATTTGTCCTGACTGTGGGCAAGGCAGGAAAACTCTAGCTACATCTGCCTCCCAAGTGCTGGGATTAAAAGAATGTGACACCATCGCCCAGCTTAATTTTTTCTTTTTAATTTGTGTTTTCCCTGCATGTATGTATGTGCACCATGTATGTGCCTGGTGCCCATGGATGCCAGAAGAGGGAATCAGATCCCTGACACTGGAGTTACAGACAGTTGTGAGTCACGATGTGGGTGCTGGGAATCAAACCCAGATCCTCTGTCTACAGAAGCAAGTGCTCGCTACCTGAGCCGTCACTCCAGCCCCTCACACATGCTTCACTATAGATGACAGGATGCAGCAATGAGCTCGGCCATCTCCACATGTTCACTCTATGATAGAGGTAAGCAACTAAAACCAACATTTACATCTGGCCGAGGGGGGACTGAAACTCATGGTAAATGAAACAGTCTAAGGCGAAATGAACAGATGTGCCAGTTAGTGACAAAAATCACAGGTGACTGCTTTCCCTATGGTCACACTGCAAGTGAATTTTAAAGTTCAGCCAGAAATCAGTAAAAGTAAATAAAGAGGTAATGTTTCTTTTCTCTCCAAATTCACAGACTCTCGGCAGTCTATTCATAGGCCACGTGGTCCACAGCCAGTTAGCACAGCACTGACCCCGAAGTACATTTCTACACAAAGATTTATTTTATTTTATTTATGTGTGTGGGCATGTCCTGGTGCTCACAGAAGACAGAAGAGGGAGGGCATCAGGTCCCTGGAGCTGGAGTGCATGCAGTTGAGAGCCACCCGGGAGGAACGCTAGGAGCTGACAGCTAGTGATCCTGACTGAAGCCATCTCTCCCGCCCACAGGCTTTCCAGAGCAGCCGCCTCAACTCTGCATTAAAAGAAGCCTTCCTCTTTCCTTCATTCCTTCTTCTGTGTGATTTGTTAATGACGTTTTAATTTACCTCTCTCAGCCTCAAAGACCCTCCCCCCCTCGGAGGCTCGATCTCTTCCCACTCACTCCCTGCTGAAGACACGGGCCTGAGGTCGGCCTGAGGCTGGCTCTGAGGTTGTCTGGCTCGGAGTGGCCCTGCTCGATGTCATGCTCCTGGCTCCCTCCCACGTCACTGCCACCTTCCTAATGTCTGCAGACCCTCTTCCTAACTGAGGCTGAACCTCACGCCTGGGTCTCAGCCTTTCTGTCTCTGAGGCCGAACTACTTTCCCATAAATGCCTTCAGCATATCGAAGGCCGACACCTAACTTCAAGGCTGATTTTCGGTGAGAATGAAAGAAAGAACTAAAAATAAACACAACACCGTATGACGGTAGGGCTGTGGCTGCGCTAATTCCTCACTTTGTTCTTTTCTACCATGCATACCCTAAGAGACAGTGTAGCTCTTAGACTAAGCGTAGCTCAGAGGTCCACTCAAACACCCTGTGCGGCCAACACCTGCCACTTAAGAGAATGACATCCTGATCTGGAAAGTTCTAGGAGATAAAATTACCTCAGCCTAGAAGCAACTCTTACAAACTGTAGAGCAAATCTCCCCCTTGTAAGAACTCCTTAAACGCCCCAATTCATGAAGGGAACACCCCACTGTCCTTGCCTGATGCAGCCAGGAAGGGGAGAAGACGCTCCACACTCTGAGATGCTACTTGTGTGGGGACCCTCTTGATCAGGTGGTCATCTGCACCCTGACTGTGTCTGCCCATGTCACCACATGCTTCCCCTATCCATCTTCTAAGAGTGCTACCCCTCAAGCCCCAAACACCAGCTGCTACCTAAGACACACCTTTGGCTATGGAATATTCCTTTACCCTGTGTGAAGATGCATCATTGTGACTGGTTTAATAAAGAGCTGAATGGCCAATAGCTAGACAGGAAGAGGTTAGGTGGGACTTCTGGGAACAGAGAGGACTGGGGAGGAAGAAAGGTGGGGTCACCAGCTGGACACAGAGGAAGCAGGACATGCAAGGGGAGAGTTAAAAGTCATGAGCCATGTAGCAGCACACAGATGAACAGAAGTGGATTAAGTTATAAGAGCTAGCTAGAAACAAGCCTAAGCGAAGGCCAAGCTTTCATAATTAAAGAAGTCTCCGTGTTGTTATTTGAGAGCCGGCTGCTGGGACAGAGAGAGACTCTCACAACCTTTGGCATAAATAGGAGCAGAGCGGAAAGTCACTCTGGTGAAGTCAGGACCACCTGAGGGCCCAAACATAACACATAACGGAGAACAATAAGTGGTTAATCCTCTTTAGATGTCAGCTAAATGTCTCATTTTTCCTCTAATTTAAATAAATCATCTGCAGGTATTTCAAATGCACGGCAAGATCTTAGACCCCAGGCTTCACGCCTTATTACTGAATCCAGGCTGGTTCACCGGGACGCCAACCTATGTTCCCTTGTCACCTCCCTAACAGCCAGGTCCCAGCTTTCTAACTGCTCAGCAGCAGCAGCAGCAGCAGCACTAATCTAGCATGCGATTACTGTACTGTGTGACAGCTTAACTGTGAATCTGGAGGACCAAGACCCGAGTTTGAATTATGAGCCATGTCACCCGGGCAAACTTTCTTCCCATTGTCTCTTCCCCATGTAAATAAGGTTAGAGCGTCTGCCCCTCACAGGAGGAAACCCCTGAGATCCGGCCAGGCTGTACATGCTCTGCCTTCACCTCACGGCCTGTGCCCTGCCTTCAGGAAGGCAGGCCCTGACTCTGCTTTGATGTCAGCCATAGGGAGTCAGGCAAGTGCGGCGTTAGGACCCCACTCTCTTTCTAGAAGTCAGTCTAGGCACAGGCATGGCAACTACCACCAGACAATGACAAGGAGAAACCAGATGGAGTTCTGGAAAAGGTCTGCAAACGTAAAATGGCACTCTTATCTGTTTGAAACAGGGTCTTGCTATGTAGCTCTGGCTGGCCTGGAACTCACTATGTAGACCAGGCTGGCCCGAAACCCGCATCAAGCCTCCTGCCTCTGCTTCCAAGTGCTAGGACTGTGGGCATGCACCCCATGCCCAGCCAAAACGACACTCTTAAATGACACAGGGGCCCCTTCGCTAGATGGTGCTGAGTTTAACGGGGCAGCTGCAACTGGGAAGAGCTTGTTTACGTTTCTATTAAAATAGCAATATTACAGTGTTCCCCCTCTCGTGACTTCCCAACAGAGTATGGCATAAGGGATGGAGGGACCCTTCTCAGAGCCTCCTGTCCCAGGTTTGCTCTCACTCTTGACTCCCTCTGGTGACTCTGAACTCATCCATTATGAGAAGAGTCCACTGAGAACAGTTGGCCAGGCCAACAGCCCAGCTTCAACCCCAGGAGAACCCTAAGCTAGAGCCCCTGTCGCAGACCCTTCCAAGTCCCTACCCCAGAACCTAGAGATGTATGCTTACTGAGTAAAGTCGCTAAGTGCCCACTTACATGGGACAATAGGTAATGATGGATAAGTTCCCTTGGCTATAAGAATCAGATGAATGTTCTTTGAATATTTTTTATAATTATCCACAAAAAGATCTAAAAATTTGAGACAGAGTCTCATGTAGCCCAGGGTGGCCTCCAACTTGCTATGTAGCTGAGGATGACCTTGAACTTCTGATCTTCCCGTTACTACCACCTGTGCTTACAGGTGTGCGTGACATTCTAACAGCAAACACACCGTAAATCACCACTGGGAGACATAACACAGAACTGAGATAAACGCTTCTAAAAATAAATACTGAATGTGATCCCCTAAGTTGATCTCATATTCCTCCAGCTGGAAAACCATCATATCTATGACACCCAAAATTTCTATGGTTAATACACTAACCACATCAAGACGGACTAAAGTAAGAGAGAAAGAAGGGCCTATTCACCTCTGCACTGCGGAAAACGTCATCCCCTTGGTACACCACCTGGCCACAGAAGGGCCCCCTCTCCCACCACCCGTGACCGAGACAACTGCATGAGCTCATACCTACAGCATCGCCAATTTCCAAGGCCGCCAACAACTGCTTTGAGACTTTAATCACCGTCTGCATATTTCCAAAAAGTCCCTCGAAATCAACGTTGGGTACCTGAGCAAGAGAAACAGCATCAAGATGCTTGCAGAGGAAGTGAAGGAAACATCACTCACATTAGGAGTACCGCTCCAAGGTCATCCACCTCACTCACTCCCACCTCGGCTCTCTAACTGGCACCCACGGTCATCTTCGCCGTCATCCTTTGTCCCTAACTAAGGTGTGGTCTAGCTCCAGAGTGTCCCCCTGCGGCTCATGTGTTAAAAGCCTGAGGTTACCAGGAAGTGGGTCTTTCAGCAGGTGAGGACTACCTGGAGGAAGTGAGGTCACTGAGGAGAGAGCTGAGGCCCCGCCCCTTCTCACTCTGCTTCCTGGGTGCAGGAGGGAGCTTGTTCTACTGCATAATCCCTGCCCTGATATGTACGCTGCTTTACCACAGGCTCAAAAGCAACAGCAGCAACCAACCGCAGGCTAAAACCTGAAACTGTGCCATGGCAAGTCAGTCCTCCCACATGCTGATTCTTTATTCCTTCACCACTGAGCCACTCAGTCTGCAACTGTGGCGTTCAGCAGCCGGCAAAGCCTTGCTCCAATCCCAGCCCTGCAGGCCTAAAGGACCACAATGTCAGGCCAACACCCAAACCCACCTGTGCCTGCTGCAGCGGCACCATGACCCGCTCAAGGCACATCTCCAGGTCCCGGATGTAGTCTTTCTCCGTCTGCACAAGTTCAGCCACCACCTTGGCTCTCTTCTCCAGCATCCTCTGCTCCGGCTTCTCAGGGGACACAGACCCAGAGGGGGCCACCAGGGATGAAGACTGGGAAGAGAGGAGCGTCATGTCTGGAAGGAAAAGGAGGACCCATTAGCATCTGTGTGAGAGGAGGACTCTCCAGCACTTGGAACCAGGAAGCAGCATTCCTGGAGGGCCACCAGGAGATCTGAGCAAACATCCACAGTAAACACGGATGGGGAGCTCAGCAAGCTATCTCTGCGGGGGACACTCCAACAGTGCAGGATCCTTTTCACTTTGGTCCCCAAAGAAGCTTGATCACAATAAGGGGACAATTCGCTAGCTACTGGTTCTCTGTGAAGTGGAAAGGACTGCCAGCCTTATCAAGAACTAATTTTATTTAATCAGATATGAAACTGCTTCGTAACCACGCTGGGAAAGGAGGACATTGATACTAACTTGGGTTAATCAGCTGGTAAACTCACTTGCTGCCAAGCCAGAGGTCCCGAGTTCATTCCCTGGGACCCACATGGTCCAAGGGCTCAGAGACCTGACTCCCTCAGGTTGTCCTCAGACCTCTCCATGTTGCTTCGATGGCACATTCATACCACATACATGCACACACAAAGCAGATTAATAAAGTGATGAAATGTTTTAAACATTATGAAAAAAATTACAGGCAGAAAGTTAATTTTTTTTTTAAAAAAAAAAAAGAATATTAAGAGGAACACATAGCAATGGCAGATTGAACAGAGAAAGGACTCGCCTACCTGAGAAGTGAGAACTACTGAGGATTTACCTCAGCATATTGTTAGGTATGTAAAGATCTGCCTCCCTAGCCAAACTGTAATCAAGACTCACAGTGGATTGGTTACTTCACACGGGTCCTAATAGACAGGTGTAAAATACTATAGACATTAATTTCCTTAATCAAATTTCATTTTTAAACATCCTGCCAGGTGTGGTGACATACGCCATTAATCCCAATGCTCTGAGACAAAGGCAGGGGGATCTCTGGGAATTTAAAGCCAGCCTGTCCAGTCGGCGAGTTCCAGCCCACCCAGGTCTCTCCACAGGGAGACCTTTTCTGAAGGAAAATAATCCTTGTCGTGACCCCGACAATTCCTGTTACTTGGGTGCACAGGGTGAGACTCATGGAGAAACGGGGAAGCATTTGCTCATTGAAACAAACTGAAGTAAAAATAAACAACTGAAGAAATACAACAGCGAGACAATCTCCAGCCGAATTTCCTTTAAACTCTAAGACCTATTTAAAAATTACAGATTTGCTAAGTAAATACAGTATGGAGTGTGAGCGCAATTCAAAGCAACAAAAAGCATCCACACTACTGGTCTTTCAGCAGACTTGATTCTTCAAAACTCTTTTCTGCTGCCCCTAATCCTAAGGAGTTAGGAATGCCAGTGTTTACAGGCAGGGGCGGGAGACATCTTGCTCCGCAAAGCAAGGAACAAGGGGAAGGTGGAGGGGGAGACGCTAACAAAGACAGGGAGCCAGGAGAGGGCAACGGCCCAACCAGGCATTTCATACCAAAAGTAAGTCAGCAGCACACAACACATTATCATCCACTGAATCAAGCAAGAACTGGGAGCCCACAGCCCCAACACACATGAGGGGAAGAGGAGAAAGCTCTCTCTCTTGGAAGATATCAAATTGTAAGACCCAGAAAAATGACAGAGACAAAAAAACAAAACAAAACAAACAAAACAAAACAAAGCATCATTTTCTGATGTGGTGGTGCAGGCCGCTAACACCAGCCTGCAATACATGGAGAATTCCAGGCCAGCAGGGCTACAGAGTGAGGCCCTGTCTCAAAAACAAACACAAAAAAATCAAATCAGTAGATAATGATGGTGATGATGGTGATATTGAGATGATCAGAATATTTGCATAGTTTTAAAATAATTATTAAACATTACATGTTAATTACAAAAATGTAAAAAAAAAAAAAGTAGTGAATACACAGAAGAGAAAAGACATCCTGACCTTCAAAATCAAGGTCACCAGTAAGAGGCAAGCAAATGTCACAGGCTTCTAAATACGCCTGGAAACACCATCCACTCTTTTTGCAGTATTCTAGTCACAAATGTAGGTTTTGAAATAAATCAGGGGGAAACAGCAAACTCAAATTGAGGCTTTATAGTCTTCAAAATGTCACTGTCCTGGAAAGTCAAAATTGGGGAAGAGTTCTCCAGCACAACTGGCTGGCCCTCCTGTGCTGGCTCCAAGCACACTGCCAGGGCATCTGCCGGGACTGGAGAGCAGCTTCGATTACAGGAATGATTCAAATTCCCGCAGAAGTGAACCCTTTCAGGTCACACAAGAAATACCCATACTCACTAGGCTGGTGGTTCACCTGCACGAGACCCCAAGGTCTCTCCCCTACACAGGAAACACACATGGAAGCCATCTAGGTAGGGGGACTAGGCATGCAATAAACTCTCAGGTGACTGAGAAGGAAGAGAAAACCAGAAAGAATGAAAGAAGAGCACGCACAGGGAGTTCCTGGAACCATGGTAATTTTCTATCAGCTGAACATTATCCAAAACACAGTTTAAAACTACAGCTAACATCTATCTCTCCTGAACTTTCTTTTTGGCACCATGAGTGGCGACATTTCAAGCGTCCTTCTCATTGCATCACGGTGCTAAGTATCATTCGGAAATCAGTTGCACCGTACATACAGCTCGTTTACTGCTGCGCTGGGATGGAATCCTGGCCTGGTACGGGTTAGAGAAAATGCTTCTTCAACCCTAACCTTGGAAGAAAACCTTTCTCATGGAATTGTTTGCTTTAAGTTCCCCTTGTGGCCATACTTGGTGGTACTTGTCTATAATGCCACTTCGGAGGAGGCAGAAGGATCCTGAGGTTCAAGGTCATCCACAACTACATTGTGAGTTCTCAGCTAGAGTAAGCCACATGAGACCCTATCTTGAAAAACAGATAAACAAAAATAACAACATAAACCTGCAATTTCAACTCATAGATTTCTGTTTTATTGTTTTTTGTTTGTTTGTTTGTTTGTTTGTTTTTGAGACAGGGTTTCTCTGTACAGCCTTAGCTGTCCTGGAACTCGCTCTATAGACGAGGCTGGCCTCGAACTCACAGAGATCCATTTGCCTCTGCCTCCACCGCTTGGCTTCAAAGTGATTCCCAAATATCTTAGATCTTGTAGTGGCCAACTGACAAGAGAGACTCATTAACACAAGACTATAAAACTCCAAAAAAGGGAGACATTTACTAATTGCAACCACACTCCAGCTAATTTACAGATTATATCCCGGAACTCACTGAGTATGCCAAAGCTTTCAAGCACACGACAGTTATTATTCCTACTTAACCGAACCAACCTCTAAGATTCAGGAGGCTGACCGACTTGTCAAAGGCTCTGTGGCAAGCAGCAGCTCTGTAGGCACAGCCTCAAAAGATCAAGTCCAGACCCGAGCATTTAGTCCAGTGCTGCTGGACCTTCAAGTGGAGAAGGCCACGCTGCTTCCCTGGACACGGTCTTCTGGGGACCAAAGATCCGTTAGTGACAGTGCCTGGAAGGACAACGCACCAGGCACGCTTTTACTCAACCGGAAGGCAGCC